TAACATACTGAGATATTAGAAAGGTTAGGCTACGAAAATTCCTTTTTTCTTTTTTTTTTTTTTTTTTTTTTTTTTTTTTGAGACAGAATCTCGCTCCGTCACCCAGGCTGGACTGCAGTGGCGCAATCTCAGCTCACTGCAACCTCTGCCTCCCCAGCTCAAGCAATTCTCCTGTCTCATCCTCCTGAGTAGCCGGGATTACAGGCACCTGCCACCATGCCTGGCTAATTATTTTTCTATTTTTAGTAGAGACAGGGTTTCCCCATGTTGGCCAGGATGGTCTGGAACTCTTAACCTCAAGTGATCCACCCACCTCAGCCTCCCCAAGTGTTGGGATTACAGACATAAGCCACCAGGCTTGGCCAGAATTCCTACTAACTGGTTGCTGCTGCCTAGAGCTGGGGTGTTGACAAGGTGTGAGAGTATCCAGGCTGGTGAGAAAGACCTCAAGATTCATTACAAATAGCAGGCCACAGGCCAGAGAGGCAGGCTGTGGAAGGCCTGGATTTCTCAAATGATTGATTGCTTTTCACATCGTCCACTCCTTGGCATTAATCCCTGCTTGTTTTCCAGGCTTTGTTTTTCAAGTCTCTGTGGCTCAGTGGAACTTCGATAACGGTTTGATGGAAAAACAAATAGGTATTCAGTGTTCATCAATACATTTCTGCAGCCATAAAAAAGGAAGGAAAGCACGTCCTCTGCAGCAACATGGGTGCAGTTGGAGGCCGTTATCCTATGCAAATTAACACAGAAACAGAAAACACTGCATGTTCGCACTTATAAGTGGAAGCTAAACACTGAGTATTCATGGACATAAAGATGGCAACAAGAGACACTGGGGACTCCTAATTAGACAGGGGAGAGAGGGAGAGAAACAAGGATTGACGATACTGTGCTTACTGCCTGGGCGGCAGGATCAGTCATACCCCAAACCTCAGCATCATACAGCAGACCTCAGCATCGTACAGCAGATCCTCAGCATCGTACAGCGGACCTCAGCATCATACAGCAGACCTCAGCATCGTACAGCAGACCCTCAGCATCGTACAGCAGACCTCAGCATCGTACAGCAGACCCTCAGCATCGTACAGCAGACCCTCAGCATCGTACAGCAGACCCTCAGCATCGTACAGCGGACCTCAGCATCGTACAGCAGACCCTCAGCATCGTACAGCAGACCTCAGCATCGTACAGCAGACCTCAACATCGTACAGCAGACCCTCAGCATCGTACAGCAGACCTCAGCATCGTACAGCAGACCCTCAGCATCATACAGCAGACCTCAGCATCATACAGCAGACCCTCAGCATCGTACAGCAGACCCTCAGCATCGTACAGCAGACCTCAGCATCGTACAGCAGACCCTCAGCATCATACAGCAGACCTCAGCATCATACAGCAGACCCTCAGCATCGTACAGCAGACCCTCAGCATCGTACAGCAGACCTCAGCATCGTACAGCAGACCCTCAGCATCGTACAGCAGACCTCAGCATCGTACAGCAGACCTCAGCATCGTACCGCAGACCTCAGCATCTTACAGCAGACCCTCAGCATCGTACAGCAGACCCTCAGCATCGTACAGCAGACCCTCAGCATCGTACAGCAGACCTCAGCATCGTACAGCGGACCTCAGCATCGTACAGCAGACCCTCAGCATCGTACAGCAGACCTCAGCATCGTACAGCAGACCTCAGCATCGTACAGCAGACCCTCAGCATCGTACAGCAGACCTCAGCATCGTACAGCAGACCTCAGCATCGTACAGCAGACCCTCAGCATCGTACAGCAGACCTCAGCATCGTACAGCAGACCTCAGCATCATACAGCAGACCTCAGCATCATACAGCAGACCTCAGCATCGTACAGCAGACCTCAGCATCGTACAGCAGACCCTCAGCATCGTACAGCAGACCCTCAGCATCATACAGCAGACCCAGGTACAAACCTGCACACGAGCCCCTGAACCTAAGACAAAAGTTAAAATAATTAAAAAGCAAAATGATTTTTAAAATATCAAACAACAACAAAAAACAACTAACTTTCATGGCTGAACCTAATGAGTGACTTAGGGAGCCAAAACGAAGCCATCAGCCAAAAACAGACACATTAATCATATGTCGTTATGGTTTCTTTCACGTGAAATGACTCTCTAGGGGCACAGTGAGAATGTGCCACTCTCCAGGTGAGAGGGCTTGGAACCAAGGCAATCATCAGGCCATCAGGAGCAGGCATAACTTCAGACCTAAATTAAGGCATGGTTATTTAAGACATCGCCAGAAGCGTGCCTCCCCCTTTGCTGATCTTTGCCCACCATTCTCCTTGCTTCTTAGGACCTATCACATGGCTAAAAGACCCTGAACAGCACAGGGTATTATATATTTTTTTAAGTTGTCTACACTTGCGGAGCTGTCTGAAAAGTCATTCTCCTCAAGGAGATCCCGGGACAGGAGACACTCCTCCCTGAGAAGAAAGTCCCCCGTCACTGTCATTTCTCCAGAAACTGTATGATGTGATTGCAAGTAAAAACAAAACAAAAAAAACCACCGTCATCTAAAAATCCAGAAAACTGGAAAAAATGCCACATCAGCATAGTCCTGCGAGCACAGTGGCTGTGCAAGGACCACAGAAGAAGACCCCTGCTGGACTGCTCACCTACGCTCCATCCTCTTTCACTCATTTTATAGAACGTAAATTGTGACTTTTTAAAAAAACTACAAAAAAAAAACAAGAATGAGAAAGTACTATTTTGACCAGAAACCATAAGGCCTGTTCATGGAGAAGTGATTGTGGAGAGAACAGCACAGCCTCCCAAATCAGTCTGGCTGCTGCCTCTCCTCAGGCGAAAATGAATTTGGCCCACTTGCTGGCATCGGCCACGGGCAGCCTCTCCACGGATGTTTCGCATGGCTAAGCACCAGACGAAGACAGAAACAGCACTGTAAACTTTTTGCAAATTAACACCACTTAGTTGATGACATGCTTTTATTCCTTTCCTCCATCCCTAGATGGTTTAGCGCTGGAGAAATAAGATGATGGAAAGCAGACGAGGCCACTGTTTTGACTCTGACAGGAGAGCAAAGTTCGCGCTTTTTGTCTTACGGCATTAAAAGATCCATGTCTCGCTCTCTCTTTAAATCCGGCCAACACTGTTCTTCTAAGAACTGCTGCTGATTTTCACACAGTGGCAACGTCATCTTCCTGGTGTCACCCACTGAAAAACCGGTCTGCCCCTGACAGTGCGGCCAGGACCTGGCTGCCACCAGAGACAGAATGCCAGCCTTTTCGCTCCACACACCCAGGGTCCTGTCTGTCTCCGCAACCAAGGGGAAGAAAATAAACTGAGTAAAGAAACAGAACAGACGGGGCGCGGTGGCTCACACTTGCAATCCCAGCACTCTGGGAGACTGAGGCGGATGGATGACCTGAGGTCAGGAGTTTGAGACCAGCCTGGTCAACATGGAGAAACTCCATCTTTACTGAAAATACAAAAATTAGCTGGGCGTGGTGGTGTGTGCCTGTAGTCCCAGCTACTCAGGAGGTTGAGGCAGGAGAATTGCTTGAACTCGGGAGGTGGAGGTTGCAGTGAGCCGAGATCGCGCCATTGCACTCCAGCCTGGGTGACAGAGTGAGACTCGCTCTCAAAAAAAAAAAAAAAAAAGAAGAAGAAGAAGAGAGAAAAGAAAGAGAACAATGCAAATGAATAGCAGGCCCAGTCATGGAGATTCCTTACAATCTTAAATTTAAAAAATTCTGAGATCTTCTGCTCTCAGGAAAACATACTAGTTCTTTGAAAAATATCCTCAAACATATCTCCTTCTCCTTTCTGTTTGCCTGAGAATTATTACTGCTGAATTTATACATCAGTGAATCTATGTAGCTGCAGCAAAATCACAAGCTTGAGGAACAGATTAAAGCCAGGAACCACCATTACCTCGAGGCAAAACAGTCTCTGTGTTTAAGGCACAGTTCTAGCTACCTCCGAGTTATAAAACAATTCTAAGACCGGCTGCTAGCAGCACTTGCAGTCTAAATAAAGCAGCACAGAAGAAATACCATCCCTGGAGAGGGAAGGCTTATGAATGGGCCTTTTAAAAATCATGAGTTGGAGGTTTCTGTGAAGCCCCTTAAACAATGTATGTCCATATATTCGTTTTTCTGAAGGGAGTGTCTGTAGCTTTTGGAAGACTCTCAAAGTTATCCCTGACCCTTTAAATGACAGCTAAATCTCAGAGCCAGAGCCCTCACTATCAGCTGCAAGTCCTTTGTAACTACGTAATAAGACAGATGGTGTTTTACCCTCATGGAAAAAAAGTTATAATATCATAACTGGTGGGTTGTTCATGCTCAGGCGGTGTTGCAGTGATAAATCTTTATAATGATATTAAATTGTTAAAATTATCCACCTAGTTCCATAAATACATGATACATCGTGGTTATAAAAGGGGCCTCTCTTATGAAACTTTTTAAAAGACAGTTTTACCGTATCATTAATTTGGTATAAAATCAACACATTATTCACAATAAATATTAATTAAGGAATAACTAAACAATTTTGTGTGTCCTCCTAGAATTTATAAAAGCTTTCTTGAGGAAGATTTAAGAGGCCTAAGGTGCTCTGAAAACAAAAACCAAAACCCAGAAATCTGAAGGAACGCCTTGGCTCAGCCAGTCCTGAGGCCGACGCTCACTGTTTTTCGAGGGTCAGTGCCGGGGCTTGAGGTCTAATCCTATCATGAGAAGCCTGAATGCGAAAGGGTATACACGAAGCAGAAACTGCTCCAGTGGTAGAGGATGAAGCCACACAGCACTGGGCGCGATGCATAACCAAACACGGGGAATACATCCAAAGCCATTCCATAAAAATGCTTATTAAGAAAAGCGAGCTGAGGCTTTCGCGTTCGTTTCCTCCTTCCTAAATGGTCTGTGCTACCTGCCCCCAAACCCTGTACCAAGAACGGGCCCTTCTGCTTGGAAGGGAGAGACTGGGAAGTCACTTACCAGATGCAGGGGCCTGGCCACCAGGGGAGCTTGCAGACCCGGTGCCTGCCCTCGCCGAGCTCGGGGACCTCCCATCGTCCCAGTCCTCAGGCTGGTCTCCAGCCTCCGCCCTGCCGGCTTCTTTTTCAGGGGGAAGGCCCATGCCATAGGCGCACCGGGGCAAGGGTCCATGTTTTGGGCAACCGTCCAGGGGCTCACAGTCCTCCCCAGGAGGGTTCCGGCAGCCTGTGCAGACATCTGCCCAGTTGGGGCTGGGGCTGGGGCTGGCTGCCCAGTGCGCGTCCACCTCTTTTTGCAAGTAGTTTTCAGAGGACACGGGGATCCAGTCCGCCCCGCACAGGGGCTCAGTGCAATTGCAGCTTTCTGAACCCACCGTGCTCTGCGTCCCTGTGAAGCACTGGCTTAAACTGTCATTCTCCCCCACCTCCAGGGGTTCGGAGAAAGGAGGTGTGGATCTGCTTCCAGGCTCAGTGAGGAACAGTAAACGGTCTGCGGGCTGCAAGGGCCTGTCCATGTATTCATCTTCCATGGGCATCTGTCTGAAGCTGTCTTCCTCCGTCTCGGTCTCGATGACCAACGAGAGCATCCTGGCACCTTCGCCTTGTGCGTAGGGCCCACCTCCTGCACACGTGCCCTGACAGACACCACCTTGATCTGGGTAGCACATATCATCTGGAAATGTCTTCTCCTCCAGAGTCAGCAGTAAGACACTTTCACACACTCCTTGCTGACCAAGGGTTGTCGTGTGTGTACTGACACAACTGTCGCCTGAGGACTCCTGCCGATATACATTCAGAAGGCAGAGGAGTTAATACCCAGGGTTATTAGGATGAGTTCAGCTAAACACTGCTGAAAACAGTGTTTGCACTGATTATTTCCACCATAACAAGTACAGATGGAGTACTGACCATGGCACTTTGTGCCATTCCAAATTCCCGAGTAGAGGAGAACTCTAGAATGGAATACAGCTAGAAACAAATGCATCGAGCTGCATCTCAGAGGAAAAGCATGTTCACACCTAACAAGGAGAGCAGCTAACCCAGAACCCAAGTTCTGTTCTGACAGAATGCTGTCAGAACACAGTGTTCTGACTACATATTCTCAATCTAAATCCCAGACCCCAAACAACTGTAAACAAATACTGAACTCGAGTTAGCAGCTCTGTATACCACTGTGGTATAGTCTAGTAATTCTGAAACTGCTTTCTGTGTATTCTAGAATTGAGCAAATGAGGAAGTATACCGAGAGTAACAGGAGCCAGGTTTCATACAGCTGGAGAAAGATTCAAATATGGGAAAGGGAAAGACCAGAATGAATCCTGCTGTGCTGGGCCTGGAATTGGAGAAATCCATTTGAGCTTATGCTTTCAAATGTATACGTTTTGTATCATAGAAAGTAGATCTAGCCAGGTGTGTTTGTTCATGTCTGTAATCCCAGCATTTTGGGAGGCCAAGGTGGGTAGATCACCTGAGTTCAGGAGTTCAAGACCAGCTTGGGCAACACAGTGAAACCCCATCTCTACTAAAAATACAAAAATTAGTCGGGTATGGTGGCGAGTGCCTGTAATCACAGTTACTGAGGAGCCTGAGGCAGGAGGATTGCTTAAACCTGGCAGGCGGAGGTTGCAGTGAGCTGAGATTGTACCACGGCACTCCAGCCTGGACGAGAGAGTGAGACTCTGTCTCAAAAAAAGAAAAAAAAGTAGATATAAAGGACATAATGAGATGATTAATGAAAATTTGACATCAAATGTGGGTTAAATAATAGTATTGTACCAGGGTTAAATTTATTGATTCCGATACATGTACTATGGTTATATATGAGAATACCCTTGTTCTTAAACACACACTGAAATATTTAAGGATATGGGGCACACAGTCTGCCATCACTCTAAAATGGGTCGAGAAGAAAACATACCTCTATGTTCATATACACACATACAGAGAGTAAGCAAATCACAAAGCAATGAGAGGAAAATGTAAACAACTGGTGGGGCTAGTTGTAAGGCATATGAGAGGTCTGTGTCGTATTCTCACTATTTTCTATCATTCTGAATTGTGTCAAAATAAACATGTTACCAAAATAACTACAGAGTCGAGGAAAGTTGCAGCTCCTCCTTCCTAGGACTCAACCAGACAGTCGAGATTGGTACTAACATAATCACATGAACACAGAGATGAGAGAAGTGGAAACAGAGACAAAGAAAACAGGTATCGAGACTGAGCCTGTGCTTGGGCTTTGGGCTGCTCTGCAGGGAGCCATCCTGGACTTCAAGGTTTGATCAGCACACGTGGAAGTACCCCTTAAGCAAAGGGGCTCAGGCTGGGCACAGTGCCTCACACCTGTGACCCCAGCACTTTGGAAGGCCAAGGTGGATGGATCACTTGAGGCCAGAATTTCAAGACCAGCCTGGCCAACACGATGAAACCTTGTCTCTACTAAAAACACAAAAATTAGCTGGGCATGGTGGCGGGTTCCTGTAATCCCAGCTACTTGGGAGGCTGAGGCAGGAGAATCACTTGAACCTAGGAGTCGGAGGTTGCGGTGAGCCAAAATTGCGCCACTGCACTCCAGCCTGTGGGACAAAGCGAGACTCCATCTCAAAAAAAAGGTGTGTGTGGTGGTGGGGGGGGGTCTCAATATTTGACTAGGATGGCACTACCATCCTAACTGTTGAATGTACTTAACAAAGGCACCAACTGTTCACTCTACCTTATCTCCACTTAGGCGGCCACAGGCCTCATTGATCCAGTGCCACAAATTAGCTAGAAAATACAAAGCAAAGATAAGGACTTTAGTTAGTATTGCCCACTTCTTTTTTTTAAATAAAGGTTATTATGTATATTTAAAGCATACAGCATGCTATAGCACAAATATAGATGGTAAAATGGTTACTATAGTGAAGCAAGTTATCATACCCATCATCTCACTTAGTTACCCATTTTTATGTGTGTGTGGAAAGACCTGCTACAATCTACAAATTTAGCAAAAACCCTGAATACGATACAGCGTGATGAACCACAGTCCTCATTACACATTAGATCTCTGAGCAGCTTCCTCTACCCTGCGCATCCGCTATTTCATATCCTTTGACTCACATCACCCCATTTTCTTTCCTCCTACCCCGGTACCACTGTTGTATTCTGTATCTCTGTGTATTTGACTTTTTGGGGGGATTGCACATATAAGTGCAATAATTCTAGATTCTTCTTTCTGTATCAGGCTCAGAATTATGACCATTAGGTCAATTCAATATTATCTTTCAACTGTCTACTGCAAGTCTTCCAGTGAGTACTCCTGGGATTGAAAGCATTTAAAAGTAAATCAACTGACTTAAAGGCTATGAAGGCCCAGGCACAGTGGCTCACACCTGTAATCCCAGCACTTTGGGAGACCATGGTGGGTGGATCACTTGAGGGCAGGAGTTCAAGACTAGCCTGGCCAATATGGTGAAACTGTATCTCTGCTAAAAATACAAAAATTAGCTGGGCATGGTGGCACTCGCCTGTAATCCTAGCTACTAGGGAGGCTGGAGCCGGAGAATTGCTTGAATCGGGAGGTGGAGGCTGCAGTGAGCTGAGATCCTGACACAGCACTCCAACCTGGGCAACAAAGCGAAGACTATGTCTCAAGAAAACCAAAAAATTAAAAATACAAAATAAATAAAGGCAATGAAGCCATCCTACTCCTATCAAAAACAGAACTTCCTGTTCTATGCAAAGCAAAATATGATTCACTAATGTTTCAGTGACTACCTCTGGGCACATCTGGGGGCTGTCAGAGCTGCTGCTGTGATTATAGACATTCTCATTCTCCTAACAAGTTTTCTTTGACTGTGAGGGACTAAGTTAGATATCATAGAAGAACAAAGAAAACATGTCTGGGAGACTGATTTTTCCAGTAAGCTAGCTTGAATGTACTACAAAAGAAAGCAAACACAGCAAGCTAGGTGCCAGGCCCACTGAGTTCCCACGTGCCCCAAGACCTTTTCCATTACACCTGGCTGCTTCTCAGAAGAAAGAAGAAGATGTTCAAAAACTATATCTCCACTTACTCTTACAGAAGTGATGAAACGTAAATCTACGAATTTTAAGAAATCTATGAATTTATATTATGCAAAGATACAATTTCATCCCACTTCTAATGAACATTTTATGTTATTGTGCTCACTATAAAGACTAAAGTTTGGGTCATGCCCTGTGGCTCACGCCTGTAATCCCAGCACTTTGAGAGGCTGAGGTAGGTGGATCACGAGGTCAGGAGTTCAAGACCAGCCTGACAAACATGGTGAACCCCCTTCTCTACTAAAAATACAAAAATTAGTCAGGTGTGGTGGCACATGTCTGTAATTCCAGCTACTCAGGAGGCTGAGGCAGGAGAATCACTTGAACCTGGGAGGCAGAGGTTGCAGTGAGCCGAGATTGTGCCACTGCACTCCAGCCTGAGTGACAAAGCAAGACTCTGTCTTGACAACAACAACAAAAAATGGTCACCACTCAAACATTGCTCAATGCTTAACACTGGTATCTGTAATCCCCATGTTTTCTCTTTAATTAGTCTTCTGATTGACTAATGTTCCATTTGGCAATGTAATTAGTGGTAAGAGAAGTAGCTATATATGCAGGGTCTCATGAGGTCCAAGTGTGTGATATGGGAGAACTCATCAAATCACAGCAAAGCAAAGGAGGGCCATATAAATAAGTAAGCAACTGGGCTGGATGCAGTGGCTCATGCATGTAATCCCAGCACTTTGGGAGGCAGAAGCCAGTGGATCATCTGAGGCCAGGAGATCAAGACCAGCCTCGCCAATATGGTGAAATCCCACTTCTACTAAAAATACAAAAATGAGCCAGGTGTGGTGGCGAATGCCTGTAATCCCAGCTATTTGGAAGACTGAGACAGGAAAATCACTTAAACCTGGGAGGCGGAGGTTGCAGTGAGTCGAGATCATGCCACTGCACTCCAGCCTGGGCAACATACCAAGACTCTGTCTAAAAAATAAATAAATAAATGAGTAAATAAATAAGCGAGCAACTGAAAATGGAAGAGGATGGTAAAACAGCAGGTTTTTAATAGTCAAGTCAAAGAGAATGACGAATATTAAAGGATTAAGAGATATTCTTAGGAAATCTAGTGCAGCCTTGAATCCTTTTGTAAAAATTACACATTCTTAACTTTGTAGTCTAAAAGTTAAACATGACATGATGTTTAAAGACACTAACAAATTTGTATGGAAAAATGATTCTCAAGAAACAGGATAAGACTTGACTGTCCATTCTAAGAATAAGCACCCAAATTTTATTCAATATAACTTATTTTTATAATCTGAGACTTTTCTTTTTTTGAGACGGAGTTTCGCTCTTGTTACCCAGGCTGGAGTGCAATGGCATGATCTCAGCTCACCACAACCTCCGCCTCCTGGGTTCAGGCGATTCTCCAGCCTCAGCCTCCTGAGTAGCTGGGATTACAGGCACGCGCCACCATGCCCAGCTATTTTTTTTTTTTTTTTTTTTTTTTTTTTTTGTATTTTTAGTAGAGACGGGGTTTCACCATGTTGACCAGAATGGTCTCGATCTCTTGACCTCGTGATCCGCCCGCCTCGGCCTCCCAAAGTGCTGGGATTACAGGCTTGAGCCACCGCGCCCGGCAATCTGAGACTTTTTTTGAGATAGAGGCTCGTTCTGTCACCAGGCTGAAGTACAGTGGCACAATCTCGGCTCACTGCAACCTCCACCTCCCAGGTTCAAGTGATTCTAATGATTCTCCTGCCTCAGCCTCCCAAGTAACTGGGACTACAAGCACACACCACCACACCCAGTTAATTTTTGTATTTTCAGAGATGGGGTTTCACCATGTTGGCCAGGATGGTCTCAATCTCTTAACCTCATGATCCTCCAGACTTGGCCTCCCAAAGTACCCGGATTACAGGTCTGAGCCACTGCGTCCGGCCTTTTTTTCTCTTTTTTTGAGATGGAGTTTGGCTCTTGTTGCCCAGGCTTGAGTACCACTGGCGAGATCACAGCTCACCACAACCTCTGCCTCCCGGGTTCAAGTGATTCTCCTACCTAAGCCTCTCAAGTAGATGGGATTACAGGCATATGCCACCATGCCTGGCTAATTCTGTATTTTTAGTAGAGATGGGGTTTCACCATGTTAGCCAGGCTGGTCTCGAACTCCTGACCTCAGGTGATCCACCTGTTTTGGTCTCCCTAAGTGCTGGGATTACAGGCGTGAGCCACTGCACCTGGCGGAGGTTCTTATTTCAAAGTAGCACTCCAGTCAGTCATATTTAGATGATCCCCCCTACCGATCATCTAAATATTTTATATATACTTTAAATTTGTGCATTAAAAATTGATGTGTTATAGGATAAATGCAAGCTCCTGTATGCGTGATGCTGAGTGGTCTATGCAACTTAAACACGGAGCTTACAAAACATCAGTTTCCTGAATGCCAGAATATTCTTGTTCCCTTATATACAACTGGTGGAATACTAGCTTTTTAAAGTTTTTGGAGTTTGGTTTCTTTTTGCAGAGAATGATAAAACATATTTTGCTTTCGTTTAAGCAGATCATCACAGGCAGCAAGTGGACAATCTACTCATCTTTCAAAGCATTTACCTAGAAATGTATCTCTTTTGAGATTAATTTGCAAAAACCACCATAGACACAATACCTGTGAGTGCTTTCCCTTTTTTCCTATAGTAAACACCAAAGATGATGGCAGCCACTAAGGCCACAGACGCGAAGAGAAGCAGAATTATTAAACCCGGCAAGAAAACCTGGGGTTCTGTATTGGAAGAAAATGAGAAATATGGTATTAAAGATTCTTTAATTTTGTGCAGTTAAAAAAAAAAAAAAAAAACCCAGTAAATCAAACCTCTGTATCAAGGATGTTGATCTAGGATGACAGAAGTGAAAGTCCTCACCCCTGGCTGCCCTTTGTCTGCGAGCACTCACATTCTGAAGGGTGAAATCCACAATGTCGGCCACCCCGTTCAGTCCAGTTTCCCTCTATGAAAGGCCAGCCCATGCCATTATGATATTTCTACCTTAGAACTCTAATCATGCTCACCACGCCACCCACTCTCATTCTGGCTAACCTCCAGAACCCTTCAATATCCCCAGATGACTCTGCAAACACAAGGAACTTCTTCTATGTCTTTTCTAATAACTGCAGGGCACCAGGGGTTTGGAGGTAATGAGAACAGAACCACAGCCATCCTGTGAAATATTTCGGTAATTTTCATCCACGACACCATGTGGACCCAACCGTCTTCTTCAGCCCTCCCTGATTACTTCGTTGCTAGCATCCTGGTGCTAAAAACTCTTGATTTACTTGACCTGGTTTCCTGGACTCTTACTTTTCCTCTCCTTCTCGTTTTTAAAATAACTTATTCCTTCAGTTATTTTTAATGTTACCTGCCAAGTGGTCTTTTAAAAAGTCTGCTCTGATTGTGTAACTCCACATCCAGAATGCTCTAAGGTCTTCCTATTTCCCCAGATGTCAAGGCTAAGCCCCTGATTTCTTTGTGAAAGCCTGTTAACCCAGTTATTCTGTGGCCTGTGTTCTCTTTCCTCAGCAGAAAGGTCTCCTTGCCGTTTAAGCAGTCTCTTCCAAAATCTGCACGCACATCTCCACGCTGTCCTGCTCGCCAAGTACCCAGCCTCCACGATCGACTTTATGGCAATCTGAACCTCTACTTAAGATTAATTTAATCTACAACTTGTCCCACAGTTGATAGCTAGATCCTAACAGTTTTCAGAGATGACCAAAATCTCCTCATAGAGACCCTCACTGTGACCACCATCATCCCACCAAGTCTGAGCAGCTTAATTTATGTTTGCAGCTCTATTTTTTAAGTATATTAATACACTGTTAGCTATCCCAGATCCAGCATAGGAAATTATCAAGGAAACAGTATACCTGGAATTAAAATACTGATTAAAATGGGGTATCATGCTGACCATGTGCAGGACGAAATACCAGGTGAGATGACCCCTGCAGATCCAGGTGCCTTCTGGGAGGGAGCTAATCAAGTTGACTACCCTGGGTACATCTATCAACCAACAGGCTCTTTTAAACATACCATTTGGTGGTTTTCTGAATGGCAGAGAAGAACTGCAAATCACATCGGATTTCTCTGTCCCATGACGTTCTACTTTCTTTCCAAGGATGGTACAGCTGTGGGGGAAAAGGTAGTTATGTGCTTTGGTTTTATATGCTTCTTTAAAAAAAAAAAAATGAACAAATGCAAGACTCTCCCAGATTGCCAGCTCCTTCAGGAGAGGAATCCATGCCTTCTTGGACGTTTGAGTCCCCGGTGCCTTCCACTGACATTTGAGTTCCCAGTGCCTCCCTGTCCATAGGGAGGAGGACATCACAATGGGGGATGAACAAGTCAACAAAAGCAAACGCTGCCCGTGTTCCCTGACAGCTGCTCTGAGAGCGTGGTCAGCAAAGGAGCAGAGCAGAGTCTTCAGGAAAGAATATTCTGGCTATGCACAGTGGCTCAGGTCTGTCATCCTAGCACTTTGGGCGGCTGAGGCAAGAGGATTGCTTTAGCCCAGGAATCTGAGACTAGCCTGGGCAACATGATAGAGACCCTGTCTCTATCAAAAATTTAAAAATTAGCTGGGTGTGGTATACATGCCTGTGGTCTCAGCTACTGGGGAGGATTGTTTGAGCCCAGGAGGCTGAGGCTCCAGTGAGCCATGTTTGTACCATGGTACTTCAGCCTTGGCAACAGGGCAAGATCCTGTCTCAAGAAAAATAAAAACGAATATTCCAATAGCTTCAACTACATAGCTAAGTGATACACTTTTGCTGATCACTCTTTTGAAAAACACAGAAAATCCTCTTGAACATAAAATCTGGATAAGTGAATCAGAAAAGAAATATTTATTTATGTATTTTAATTTTCATTGTTTAAAAATGTGAGATAAGGTCTTGCTGTGTTGTCCAGGCTGTTCTCAAACTCCTGGACTCAAGCAGTCCTCCTGCCTCAGCCTCCTGAGTAGCTGGGATTACAGGCATGTACCACTATGCCCAGCAGAAAATAAACATTTAATAAGGAACATACAGGGAATTGAAAGAATCATTACATTGATTAAAAGTAATCAGCAAGAGGCATGCAATGAAAGGACCCATGAATTCCACTATAGATATACTCACATACTTGAGAAATCGTACATATATGAGATACTTCATTATAAAATTATGTATTACTGTAGAAGACTGGTAACAATCTAAGTGACTATCAGTAAAGAACTTATTAAATAACTTATGATATACTTCTACAATGAAATACTACATAGCTGTGAAAAGCCATGAAGATCTAATGAACTGGTGAACTGATATAGAAAAAGCTTCAGGATATACATATTTGGAGACGTTTCACTCTTGTTGCCTAGGCTGGAGTGCAATGGCATGATCTCGGCTCACTGCAACCTCCACCTCCTGGGTTCAAGCAAATTCTCTGCCTCAGCCTCCCTAGTACCTGGGACTACAGACACATGGCACCAAACCTGGCTAATTTTTGTATTTTTAGTAGAGATGAGGTTTCACCGTGTTAGCCAGGATGATCTCAATTTCCTGACCTCATGATCTGCCTTCCTCAGCCTCCCAAAGTGCTGAGATTACAGGTGTGAGCCACTGTGCCCGGCCTGCTTCAGAATATGTTATATAAGAAAAAAAACACCCCAAGATGTTTGCAGCATGCAAACATTTATACAAACAGGAGGCTTCTATATGTACACACACAAATATCTGGATGAATATATCAGTGATGCTGGGAAGTCAGAAGAAGTAGGAGTGACCCCTGAATGATAATAAAACATTCTAAATCATTTCAACAAACAAGGTTAGAAAAAGCTCCACCCATAAGTCACGGGTTACCAAATCTAAAAAGTCACACGAAGTTCCTGTCACACATAGGGCTGAAGAATGAGTTTGACTGATTTATTTTCCCCATGCTGAACTGACAGACTTTTTCCATGTTGAACCTGGCTTCAAGAGGAAGCCTAACCCAACAGAATCCGTCTGTTTTCAACTCAGATGAGACACTGGAAGTTGAGTTGTTGAAAACCTTGTCTCTTCTGACTCTTTGGCTGTCACTTACTTGGTCCAGGGTCTGCATTTGTCCGTGGAGGAAAAGGTGTCTGAGAAGTAGCCTGCGAGGCAAGGTTTGCACACTGTGTCCTTGTTGAGCTGCACTGTGAAAAAAAGAAAACCCAGAAAGAACACACAAAAGCAAACGAGGTCACTTAGATATCATCCAGGATGAGACCCCTGTGTCTAATTCCTTCAGCTCCCACAGACTCGGGCCCGCAAAGCAGTTCTGACCCCAGCAGTGAGTTACGGAACCTGGCTCAGTGTCAGGCCACTAACACTGGTATGTGATGTCCAGGCCGGGCTAGCTCTGGTCCTGACCTTCTGTTGTTCAGAGTCACTTCCTTGGTCACCAACACTTTTTTTCCTAGTCTGGGAGCCGGTGTTGATGGCTCCTCTGTCTGCCTCTTGCTTTCCTCCACGTACCTGCCAGCTAGCCCAGCCTTTGTCTGCAGGGAATGGCAGACCCATTACTGCTTTGAAGGGAAACTCATTGTCCTGACCTCTTCTGATGAGCTTAAGCTCTTTAGTCCAAGTATTAGAGTGTCAACAAAGTTTTCTCAGTTGAAAAAAGAAGAGGAGGGGGCCGGGTGCAGTGGCTCACGCCTGTAATCTCAGCACTTTGGGAGGCTGAGGCAGGCGGCTCACAAGGTCAGGAGATCGGCAACATCCTGGCTAACACAGTGTAACCTTGTCTCTACTAAAAATACAAAAAGAATTAGCTGGGCGTGGTGGCATGTGCCTATAGTCCCAGCAACTTGGGAGGCTGAGGTTGAGGCAGGAGAATCACTTGAACCCGGGAGGGCAGAGGTTTCGATGAGCAGAGATTGCGCCATTGCACTCCAGTCTGGGCACCAAGAATGAAATGTCATCTCAAAAAAAAAAAAAAAAAAAAAAAAAAAAAAGGAGGAAAAGCACTACAGGTCTCTTTCCCTGAAACCAAGGGTTGGTATCAAACATTTTCTATAAGGATCATAGAGTAAGTATCTTAGGCTTTGCAGGCCTATGGTCTCTGCTGCAGCTACTCACAGCATGAAAACAGTCCAATAATACATTAAAAATAAGAGATGAGGGTGCATTCCAATAAAACTTTACTGATAAACACAGTGGTGCAATGGATGTTGGACCCCTTCCTTAATGGAAAGTGTTGAAAGCAGGAGCTGATCCTGGTTAGTAAACTGACTTGACTCTCATATTCCTCATGAACTACACTGTCAAGATAAATACGTCAGGTTTTCTATGCCTATTACCTCTACTGCAATCCACACATGATGACCCTTTGGTAAGTCCCATGAAGAACGTTGGTTACTATGTGATATCATCATCAGGCAACTGGCTGGTGCCCAAACCACAAATTACTCCTAAAATTAGTAGCACTTCTGTGATTTACTTTCATGAATAAAACACTAACATAAGGAATTAAATTTCTTTGTCCAAAGTCAAGTAGGAAGTATGTTCTTGATTTCTGCAATTTGGCTGGCTAAGTAGAGTACTGACTGCTCTTTCATCTGGCAATTTGATTTGTCTTAAATCTTTATTAAGAAGAGCCGAGTTAACATCTAATAACTCACATTAATTTGAATCGCTTTTTAAAAGATAATCACAATATAGAGTTGTAAGAAGCCCTCAAAATCAAAGCGGTGGGGGCAGGGGGTGGGGGCTAACAGGCATACAAAGGGTTAAGGGCATTAATTTCCATAGCTTGACCTCCGTAGGACTCAGTAACACTGATCTTCCAGAAACATCCTGCAGGCTCCTTTCCTTGCTCCCTCTCATAATCACACTTTTCTCACTTTACAAAAGATATACTTCATACTCACCCCAAATGCTGCTATGCTACCAAACCTCTGAGATGCTGAACAAAGTGACCAACAGAGACACTGGTGGTGGCACAGCTCCCACCTTTCACTCTCTATTAAGGGCAAAAGCAGGACAACAGAAATGGGGCAGCTGGGATCAGGCTGAGCAGTTCTGAATTCAGATATACCTCAGGGTGGGGCAGGAGTGAAATTTCCATTCATCTACCCCTTCCCCTCCATCCTCTGCCTATTTTGTCCGAAAATGAATCCATTTCTAAAGGTGCAAGGCAGAGAGAATGTCTATCAGAACCCCTGATGTGACATGCTGGTGAAAATCTGGAGGAAAGTCTCCAGGCCTCTTTTATTTTAGAATCATAATTCAGAAGGAGTTAGCTGTGATAGCGAGATCTATTTTAACAATTAAAAAAAATCAAGTCAGACTTTTTCTAAGAGAAAGCACATCTGCTTTAGTCAACACATTTGATAATAAAGATCGACTGTCTCAGACTCTGTGATGGACATTTTCCTTGATATGAATTGAAATGAATAATATTTTAATTCTCCCAACCCTGCTCAAGATTCTGGGTTAACACCAGGTACTTCGAAGGGAATGATAACAGGTATAAATAATCATTTGCTAAGTCTTAGAAAAAACTGCTTTTGTTATACTTCCTGGAAGTCAGGAAAGCAAATGGCTCTAAGAAATACTTTTTCAAGTCAAAAAGATTTCTATTTCTTTACTTTCTAAAAAATTGAGGGACACAACTGAATTCTCAACTGATAGATTATTAAAAATAACTTTTGATATCACACCAGTAGGTGAGCTTGGACACATATATCAGAAGGTACTGAAAAAAACTGAGGACATTTCTGTAACAAAAGTATTTCTTTAGCCATTCAGTTATTTATGTGAACAAATTTCTCAGCACTTATATATATATAAACAAAAAGTAGAAACAGAATTGATGTTGAATGCTGGTGCATGTTAGCAATAAGTAATATTCAGCCATAAATATGTGGATTGGAAAAAAAATCCCACTCATTATGGAAGTCAGAAGTTTCTACTTTTATGATTAAATACAGCAAAATAGGATCTATTCATTTTTGACCAATTGTGTGATAATAGATGTAGTGACAACTTGGTCCAGGAGAAATTTTTTTAACCCTGAGTCGAAGTAAATTTTTAAAAACTCAGATTTCAAATACATACATATTTTTCAATAGGTGCATATTTGAATATGTAAAGGAATCCAAAAAGGTGATTAGTAAAACCCCTCCAAGCATAAAAAATATATCAGGATAAAATTCTGTGGGGAAGGTGGAATGCACAGGAAATCAAAGGAGAGAAAGGAACTCTGTAAACTGTCCAAAAGTTAAACACGATTTGCTCATTTCATAATGAATCATGGTGCACATCAAATGGCCGTGGTATTTAGGTTCCACTGAATTCGTCTTTTCAGTGTCATCCCAGTTATAGTTCCCTAGAACCTTATCAAGACCTTATCAATTCTTTTTTTTTTTTTTTTTTTTTTTTTTGAGATGGAGTCTCGCTCTGTCACCCCGGCTGGAGTGCAGTGGCCCGATCTCGGCTCACTGCAACCTCTGCCACCCGGGTTCAAGCAATTCTCCTGCCTCAACCTCTCGAGTGCTAGGATTACAGGCACGCACCACTGAGCCCGGCAAATTTTTCTGTGTTTAGTAGAGACGGGGTTTCACCATCTTGGCCAGGCTGGCCTTGAACTCCCAGCCTCGTGATCCACCCGCCTCAGCGTCCCAAAGTGCTGGGATTATGTGTGTGAGCCACCGTGCTCGGCCTCAATTCTTTAAACTTGTAATAAAAATTTTTAGATGTCAACTTAAAAATGTGCTGGGGTGGGAGATGGATGGTTTTTCTGAAATTCTAATGGCTGTACACTTTAAAAAGTTCAGTGACCCCGGCTCTATCCTGTTGGCTCCTAAGTGGGGATCCCAGGTTTCCACAGATAGAGGAGCCCCAGCACCCATGGCCGTGGCCAGAGCACGTGGGAATTTTACCCACAGTCCCTTTGAAGAACCTAAGCTGGGGATTCATTCTCAGGTCTTGCCTGGGCCTGCATCTTCTGGAAAATCAGCCCACCCCCCACGTCCCAGGTTCCTCCAAAGCTGCCTAGCACCCTGGAGTGTTCTTGCTTCTGTGATTAAAACTGTCTCAAAGCTGGCTTTGCATGGCTCAGCAAGAGCCGACAGACACACACATCCAACCCGTACACGGGTGCTGGGCGCCCAGGCCTGGCGCACACTCAGTGTTACGGCGGCAGCACTCGCAGTCCTGGCTCCAGTGGTACCCGGCCGTGCAGGTGCAGCGCCGGGGGGCCGTGCTGTTGCCGATGTCCACAGCTACCAGGGCCTTGCCTGCGGGAGACAAGAGACAGGTCAGCGGCTAGGGAGGAGCAGGCAGCCCAGACACACCACCCATGACTGCCATGTCCAACATCCAGCCCAGAGCGGCCCAGACCAGCAGCCCGCCTGGCGAGCTTGCAGAGTGAATCACTAGGACACTGCTGGAAGAGGCTCAAGTTCCTCCTCATGCTTCCTGCACTGGCACGAAAGCATCACAATGGGGTTCTTCTCTGTCTCATAATTAAGAGTTTTGTGGGCTTTTTATAAAAGTCAGTTTTCATGTTACTAGGAAGGTAAGGAATTGGGAATTGATCACTGAATGTTTTGGCAAATAGAAGGGTCACGGAGTTGAGCTTCCTTGTTTTTGGTAAAATCTAATGCCGTATGGGTAAGACTAATGCGAGTTTGGACCTAAGAGAACAGGACTTCTGGAAGTTTAGGATTCATCTTAGGATCCTGAGGCATCCCAGGGTGAAAACAGGTTGTTGTGGACTGCCGTGAGTGAAGGGGGTACAGATACAGGCCCGGTGATAGGCTTGCAGTCAGACTCTCCTCAAGCACCCAGGATAACACTTTTATCTCTGTTTTTACAACACACGGCCTTCTCATTCCAAGTCTCCTGGCCCCTTCCAGTTTTTCTGGAACACAGGTACCTGGAAATTGATCTGCTGTAAACTCCCCCCCCCAACACACACACACACATTTATCTTATAAACTGCATACACACACAAATATGAATCAATCAAATTATTGATATAGTTGGTCCTCATTATTTGCAGATTCATATTTGTGAATTCATCTACTTGATCAAATTTATTTGTACCCCAAAATCAATCCCCTTGGTACTTCTTCAGCCCTTTGGGGACAGAACTGTGTACATTTTGAGTTGCCCCACATGCAGGTTTCTGACTGAGGTTCGGCCAGGTGATGCTCTGCCTTCTGGTTTCAGCTCACAGAAGATAAACAAGTTTTTGTTGGTGATTTCCCTGCTTACAACAGCCCCCAACTGTCATGCTGAAGAGCTGTCTAGTATTCTAAGTGCAAGAAGGTTGTGATGTGCCTTACGGAGAAAATAAGTGTTAGAGAAGCTTTGCTCAGGTATGAATTGCAGTGCTGTTGGCCATGAGTGCAATGTTAATGAATCAGCAACATGTATCAAATAAGGTGTCTTTAAACAGAAACACACATAAAACAAGGTTATGTGGCGATCAATCGATGACAATTTGACTGGAGGCTCGCAGGAACCTCACCGGGTAATTCCCTAGGACTAATGGCTCAGGATTTGCTAATTCAGTGTTCGGGGTGACTTTATAGAACATAGCCGCTGTGCATAAGCAGAGTCGACTGCACATAGTACATGATCCCGCCCCCCAACATGATAAAAAACAATAATATTATTTAAAACAGACCTTGCACCCTTCTAGGACTCCTTCTCACCTGGATTGTCCAAACAGCCCCTGCACCTTATATTCCTGAATACTTATAGGAATTCCAAGGGGAAAAAACCACGGGAAAATTCCAAGCAAACAAACCAGAAACCTGCTCTCTCTTATTGTCTCAAGTTACAGCCAGTGGGGAGGGGACATTTCCTATTTCCAATCTTTTTAGACCCAAGCTTAGTGACCCTGGAGAAGCCCCCATTCCCTGCAGTGTCTACCCTTCCAAGTCCCCAGTCAGCTCTGCAACATCAAGACATCAATATGCAGACACATGTCCACAGACACAGGCCACTTCTCTGGAAAATTCCAAATACTCCTAGAATCCCATCGAAATGTAAGCCTGGGTGGGTGGTGATAAATAATTTTGACGTAATTTAAAATATTGTATGTAATGTACCAGATTTTTGGCTTTAATCAACTTTGGCATTAGACAGAATGAATATTTATTTCCAAGAGACTGTAATGAGTCAAGGTCATTACTAAGCAGTGGGAAATAAAAAAGGCTTGATCAGATGCTTCTGCTCAGTAGTTTCCATGTTACCTTCTCCAGCCAAAATCTGCCAGCTGTCTCCAGCACATTAGAAAAATATGGTGCTTAAAGAAACATGTACGATCTGATTCTGTCCATTGGGGGGAAAAACCCCTATACACAAAGGTCAATACAGTAGTGGGTCTTCTCTAGAATCCAGACTGAGGTCACTAAATAAAATGTTCCTTAAAAAACAACCAGGAATCCTTAGAGAAACATCTGATTGTAGTTCAAGACAGAATTATGCAAGGTAAGCATGGAAGCAGTACAGTTCTTCATGATGCCTGGGCTGTGTCAAAACCCATCGGGCCACCTCATAGAAGTGTGATGATCTGAGCACCATGACAACCAGTTACTGCAGGCTGGCACCATGGCTCATGCCTGTAATCCCAGCACTTTGGGAGGCCGAGGCAGGTGGATCACTTGAGGTCAGGAGTTTGAGACCAGCCTGATCAACATGGCAAAACTTCATCTCTACTAAAAATACAAAAATTAGCTGGGCGTGATAGTATGTGCCTGTAATCCCAGCTACTGGGGAGGCTGAGGCAGGAGAACAGCTTAAACCCAGGAGGCAGAGGTTGCAGTGAGTCGAGATTGTGCCACTGTACTCCAGCCTGGGTGGCAGGCAGACAGAACAAGACTCCATCTCAAAAAAAAAAAAAAAAAAAAGAAAAGAAAAGAAAAGAAAAGACACATAAGGGACAGAAGAATACATTAAATGATACCAAGAGAATGCAGCCAACAAAATCCAGCCTGGGGAATCTCCACAGGACTAACATCATGGCTTCTTCAACAAATAAGCTCAATAGAAAAAGGAGAGAAGAGAGAGAAAGGAATCTCTGTCTCCTATGAGATTAAGAGATATATTTTGCTCCTGATTCCCACGAATAAATTATACTTTAGAAAACATTCCTAGCCGGGCGCAGTGGCTCAAGCCTGTAATCCCAGCACTTTGGGAGGCCGAGGCCGGTGGATCACGAGGTCAAGAGATCGAGACCATCCTGGTCAACATGGTGAAACCCCGTCTCTACTAAAAATACAAAACATTAGCTGGGCATGGTGGCACGTGCCTGCAATCCCAGCTACTCAGGAGGCTGAGGCAGAAGAATTGACTGAACCCAGGAGACGGAGGTTGCGGTGAGCCGAGATTGCGCCATGGCACTCCAACCTGGGTAACAAGAGTGAAACTCCGTCTCAAAAAAAAAAAAAACAAAACAAAACATTCCTAGCATTTGGCCCAGCAGTTCCATTACCGGGTATATATCCAAGGACTATAAATTGTTCTATTATAAAGACACATGCACATGTATGTTCATTGCGGCACTGTTTACAATAGCAAAGACTTGGAACCAACCCAAATGTCCATCATCGATAGACTAGATAAAGAAAATGTGGCACAGATACACCATGGAATACTACGCAGCCATAAAAAATGGTGAGTTCATATCCTTCATGGGGACACGGATGAATCTGGAAACCATCGTTCTCAGCAAACTGACACAAGAACAGAAAGCCAAACACCATATGTTACCACTCATAGGTGGGTGTTGAACAGTTAGAACACGTGGACACAGGGAGGGGAGCATCACACACTGCAGTCAGTAGGGGGGATAGGGGAGGGACAGCAGGGGTGAGGAGGGTGGGGAGGGATAATGAGAAGAGAAATACGGATATAGGTGATGGGGGGATGAAGGCAGCAAACCACTTTGCCATGTATGTACCTATGCAACAATCCTGCATGATCTGCACATGTACCCCAGAACCTAAAGTACAATAAAAAAAAAAAAAAAAGGCCGGGTACGGTGGCCCAAGACTGTAATCCCAGCACTTGCGGAGGCTGAGGTGGGTGGATCACAAGGTCAAGAGATCGAGACCATCCTGGTCAACATGGTGAAACCCTGTCTCTACTAAAAATACAAAAAATTATCTGGGCATGGTGGCGCGTGCCTGTAATCCCAGCTCCTCAGGAGGCTGACGCAGGAGAATTGCCTGAACCCAGGAGGCGGAGGTTGCGGTGAGCCGAGATCACGCTATTGCACTCCAGCCTGGGTAACAAGAGCGAAACTCCGTCTCAAAAAAAAAAAAAAAAAGTTCCTAGGCCAGGCTCATGCCTGTAATCCCAGCACTTTGGGAGGTCAAGGTGGGTACATCACGAGGTTAGGAGATTGAGACCATCCTGGCCAACATGGTGAAACCGTTTCTACTAAAAATATAAAAATTAGCCAGGTGTGGTGGCATGCACCTGTGGTCCCAGCTATTTGGGAGGCTGAGGCAGGAGGACTGCTTGATCCTAGGAGGTAGAGGTTGCAGTGAGCTGAGATCACGCCACTGAAGTCCAGCCTGGGCGACAGAGCAAGACTCCACCTCAAAAAACAAAACAAAATAAAACAGAAACTCTTCCAGGCAAAAAACTTAAGGCAGTCTGCTAAGGAGATCAAAATGTGTTAATAAAATATTTATAGTTTAGGAAAAAGGTGAAGGGTAGATCTGGTTTTGAGTCCTGCTTCACGTGTGTTAACCTTGGAGACGTTACTCAAACTTTCTGAGTCTCAGTTTCGCAATCTTTTAAAAGGGTAAGTATGGCAACCTACAGGGCTTCAGGGAGGATTAAACCACACAAAATGGGTGGGAACATTATGGAAACATTATGTCAACTCTAAGATGTGTCCCATGATTAAACTGCAACCTAAGTATATTCCAGAACAAATGTTCTAAATGAAGAATTTTAGCACAGGCCTTGGGGATCTAAAACGCATCTTTCTTGGGATCTGTAGTCACTTCTTTCCATGTTCCTGAAACGAAACACCATTGGCTGACTCTAAAAATATTTCTGTAGAAAGAGATCTTAGGTTTCTACGCTTCTCACTGACACACTGACATGACGGGCTTACCTGTGTCACAAACTTTATGCAGCAAGCATTTATCTTCTTCATTCCAGGTATCCAAGTATTCCTCTGGGCCACAGGGCAGACATACACTGTCAGAGTTGGTAGTGCATCTAGAAGACATGTATTTCCCTTAAAAAAATGAAGAGGAAAAATGCAACCATTAAAAAAACCTATGACAGCAACACAAAGCAAAACAGCAACAAAAATCGCACCCATCTATGGGACCAATAATCACTGGTGCCCACAATCCCAGGAGGCCCCCCAAAGACGACATGGCACAGGAGAAGAGGCCACACTGCACAATGACTGCAGGGCTCCTCAGGCCACTCAGGTGGCTGAAATAACCTCTCCTTGGTCTGCTGAGCCTGTAGTCACAGCAGCCTCTTCATTCTTCTAAGCAAAAAGCCAGCCACCCTCTGCACCCAGTCTGCTAAGGAATAGAATGATGGGCAGGGTGCGGTGGCTCATGTCTGTAATCCCAGCATTTCGGGAGGCTGAGGCATGCAGGTCACCTGAGGTCAGGAGTTTGCGAGACCAACCTGGCCAACATGGTGAAACCCCATCTCTACTAAAAATACAAAAATCAGTCGGGTGTGGTGGTGCATGCCTATAGTCCCAGCTCGAAGGCTGAGGCAGGAGAATCTCTTGAACCCAGGAGACGGAAGTTGCAGTGAGCCGAGATTGTGCCACTGCACTCTAGCCTGGTGACAGAGCTAGATGCCGCATCAAAAAAAAAGAAGGCATAAAATGATGATTCTAAACTGGGCCCTGCAGAACTCGAAAGATTCCCTGGAACCCACTCAGGGAATAAGGGGTAGGCAAGAGGAACTTCATTACCCATCCCCTCTCCCCTCTTCCTTCCATCTGGATAGGTAACTTCCTGTTAACTTCTTCTACACATACTACTGGCTCATGGTTAACTTCATTTTACCAAGTGTCACACCGTGCCCCATCGCCCCATCCAACACACACTTGAAAATCACTGGATCTTGGTTCTGCACATCCAAGAAATATCTGTAGCTGAAATATCCCAAATACCTTTTTATAAGGTAACCTACCTTCGCGCCCCCCAACCCCGAATGATGAAAGAGTGCAGACCCCTCAGACTGTGGATTTCACTGGGGCTGCGGAAATGCTTAGTCACATTTCTGGCACAGTAACTTGGGGAAGGTGGCAGCCAGTCCACCTTCTACTCCTCAACAGGTTTATGGAAAAAGGTACGACAAGGGTTTAGGCAATTTTTAGCAGCAACAATTCCAGTTTGGTTATTTCCAAATAAAATTTCTATGAAAACAATTTTAAATAAGAGTTGCATTTCACATTTTGAGGGTTTGAATCATAAAGGGCTAAAATATTAGTTTTTAAAAACTCCTTGCCATCTCGAGAAATAGTGGTTTGGAAAATTGTGTTTTAGCACAACTTAAGTAACAGCTTTTGAAGTTGTTTTTAGTTTTTTAAAAGATTTTAAAATCCCCTCAAATCTCTCTATTGAGAGAAAGATTTTTGTCTTCAGAGTGACAGACATTACCACCTGCCACTACCATGAAGAGTCTATCCAATTTCTTTTTTCATCTGGCAGACAGAAAAAATAACAACGAAAGCCTCACCCACTTTTGAGGGGCAATGCAAGGGGGCTGAGAAGCAGGTGTACCTGGTTCACATTTGCTACAGCACCGTCCCAGACGCTCATAATGCCTCTCACTGGTACACGGAGGAGAGATTTGCAGAGCCACCTGCAAAGAACACGAAGGTCAGGCAGAAACTGCACACAGCTATTTCTGGATAAAACTGGATAAAACAAAAAGTGAATAGCCAGATTACCTTTTTTTGTGAGACAGAGTCTCGCTCTGTCGCCCAGGCTGGAGTGCAGTGGCATGATCTCGGCTCACTGCAACCTCCACCTCCCGGGTCAAGTGATTCTCCCGTCTCAGCCTCCTGAGTAGCTGGGATTACAGGTGCCCACCACCACACCTGGCTAATTTTTGTATTTTTAGTAGAGACAGTGTTTCACCATGTTGGTTGAGGCTGGTCTCAAACTCCTGACCTCTAGTGATCTGCCTGCCTTGGCCTCCCAAAGTGCTGGGATTACAGGTCTAAGCCACCGAGACTGATCTGCTTACCTTTCAATGTGTTAAACATGCAGAGAATTTTAAAAAGCAGCAAGAGCAAGGCGTTGCAGGGGCTTCCTGGGCTCTGCCTTCCCTACCTTTTCCTTGAGGGACTGCAGGAGCTGTTTAAGTGTCCTCAGCCTCTGGTTCCCATTTGGTTCAAAAGGGTATGATTCTAAGACAAAAACCAATTTATGAATCTGCCCATCTGAGTAAAACAAAAGAAAACAAAGCAGCCCAGGCGCCTGTTATCAACCAGAGATTCTTATCAGTTTGCCACAGAAAAACTCTTTACCTCATCAGCATTCTTGGTGTGAGAAAAAAATAACAAACACTCCTGTTGACAAGCAGTCACATTAGAAACTGAAGAGCCGGGCTTAGCTGAACAGACATCCAGGTATGCCTGCCACACTTGGAATTCATGCAAGTTCTCTGCTGCGTCCTGGAATACAGAGTCAGAAAGCTTCCCCTCAAGGGGCTTAGAGTGGAATGAAAATGCAAACCAGGCTGGGTGCTCCCAGGGAGGCAGATGGGCCCTACCTCAGCAGAATTAGGAAGGAAGCAGAAGCCACCCAGGAAGGCTTCCCAAGGGAGGTGGTAAGTGACCAGCCTTCCAGGACACACCGAAACCAGCCAGATCAGAAAACAGAAACTGCAGGTGGAGGGAGCAGGAGGATACAGGAAGACTCTGGACAACAGGAACAGTTCAAACAGGGGCAATCAAGCAGCTTTTGGGGGCAATAAGAGACCTTCGGTCCAGCTGGAGCCCAGTGTCACAAAGGCAGTCTGGGGAGGGCTTCATCTGCATGTGAAAGTGCTCGGATGGAGGGCGCAGAGATAACTTGGGTTGGAAGAAGCCATGCATCCTCGAAATACCCCCATTAAAGAAGGCAGGTTTATAAGGAAAGCACCACGCCCGGGAAAGCCCAGGCTAGCTGAGTGGGTGTGGGAGCACAAAGCCATCACGGACCTCTTTGACCTCGCCCTCACCAGCAAAGGGCTTATGAGGAGGCTGAGGTCCATGAGAAGGTCCCAGTGTGCTACTGGGGTGATGCATGCCAGGAAGGCTGACTTGGACTTGCTTCCTGTGCCCACCTAACACTCCCCACGGACACCAGGTAACACACATCAGATGCTCCCCATGTATTCACTGGGCGACAGAGTCTTAGGACAGTGCATGGAGCGCAGCAGAATGAGGAAGAATGGCTGAAAAGAAATCTCCACATCCCTCCCTTCTGATGTGTTTTTCTCTGTTTTAGACGCCACCCTTCTCTGTCGCCCTCTGTGTCATGTGCGTGCACAGAAGAAAGAGGCAAAGTGGTAAAACTGCACACAGCCACACAAACTGGGTCAAAAAGCAGGATTCATCCGAGCCTAAGGACTCGTGAGCACTGCTGCAATTCTGATGAGGATGGCGAACAGGGTAAATATGAGGTGGGACTGTATTTCAGGTGACAAAGGGCATTCAATGCTTCTGATCCCCTAAGGAGGCAGCCACAGACTCAGTAAAATGAGCACATACTTTGTGTTACACACATAGAAAGGTACTTTTTAGGGGAATTTGGTAAATGGAATACCCCTGAAGTAGCTGCTTAGGGATACTGTCAGATGTCACAGCTGTGTCGGGGGCTGCAAGCCCTGCTGCCTGTTGAGTGTATCTGACCTGAACATGGTAGACAATTCATTCCATGTTTATGGGGACGGCTGTGATTCATTCGACCCACCTAGCCTGTAACCCAGGAGCTTTACACCTCTTCGAAGAAACAAGGAAGTCACTGCTTCCAGAAATGACCAGCTGCCCTGACCTTTATAAATTTTCAGATATAAAATCCATTTTTCTCTCCTAAGCTTCTATCTCATGATGACTTTTTACCTGAATATATCTTCCCCCCCCATCAAAAAAAAAAAAAAAAAAACTGAGGTGTAATTCCCGGACTATGAAATTAAACCTTTTAAAGTATACCTACCATTCAGTGGTTTTTAGCACTTTTGCAAGGTTGAACAACCATCACAGCTATCTAATTCCTGAACATTTTCATCACCCCAAAACTGACACGTCTGCTTGACAGAGCTATAGGATTACAGATCTTTTAAGGAGCAACAGAAATTTTGGTGCTGGGAAAATTGCTATGGCGAGGCAGAAAATCATGCTTTTAATCTCATTTAGGGTCCAGCTTAAGCAGAAACCCACTTTGTTCTCTAGTTACATGATATACTTTGAAGTATACCTCCAAACCTTCAATACGGCAATATACATACAACTTAAAAGTCCGCATACGTACATATATTTAAGGAAATGCGGTTTGTGAGTAAATAAAAGAAATCTGGAAAACCCTTCAAGTTGCTGGTGCATGCCAAGGACAAAGCGTGTTTTGATTGTCCCTTCTCTTGCTTCCTGGCTCTCTGCTTCCAAGGTTTTTCCCCTCCTTTTTCTTCCCCAGACCTCATATAGCCTGCAAAGCACACCCTGTGCTGTCTCGTTCTAATCCCGTGCTCCAGTTCCAGCAACGAATGGCCTGGTGACACTGTGCACTGCAGCCCAGTGCTTGTAACTGTCAGGAAATCCAGCTTCTGAGACTCCAGCCTGTCTCGCTTTGCCAGGTACCTGAGGACTGACCGACTTGTTCCTCGATGCTGTAGGCCAGGCTGGCTCTAACCTTGTTCCCGACCCCCCGTGTCTGTCCTGAGTCCCACATGCTTGTCGTCAGTTTCCTATTAGACTGTGCTGGATCTGTTTCTGTATACCAGTCTCCCTCTACCTGGATGGCCTGTCACATTCATCCTCTTGTGTCATTTTTTTGTGTGCATGAATGAATGAGTGTCCCTGCCCCTCCCAGTCTGACTTCTCATTTTGCCTACAGGATTCTGGTTCTGATGTCTACTATTTCACTACTAACTGCCCTGCCAGCCAGCAGCTGGCAAGAGCCTGAAGATGGCTCCAGACCCTCTTGGCAGTGGCCCTTCTGGGCTTTGGCCCTTCCCTTCCACCTGCCCAGAACTTCAGCCAGACTCTATCCTCCAAGACCAAGCTCCCCATGGTTGCAAAGTGGTAGCTATTATTATTGGTAGCAATCGTAGTAAAGCAACAATTTGATAAAAACATGTTCCTGCTTAAGTGTTCTTAAGGAATCTCCCAGTGAATGGGAATTTGGGCATAAGGCCCCAGATCTTCAGTTAATAGAGTGATTTTGTCAGCCACGTACAGTCACCTCTCTTTTCCTTGCTGCACAAACAGGCAGCAAGGAAAAGCCTTTGATGACTGAGCTGCGATGTACAGGCTTTTATTTACTAAGATTTTTCTAGTTCATCTTTAAGACTATTGATAGAGTCAAAGCTTTTGAATCCCAGTTGTTTTGATGAAGTATACAAAGCAGAAATACTTTAAAAATGTTTATTTATTGAATAGGGAATGTAATATAGTCCATGATACAAATTCAAAACGAACAACAGCTTGTTTAGAAAACTCTATCCTGCTCTCTCTGTCACTCCGGCCATAGGTAACCCATGTTACCAGCCATTTTGGGGGTCCAGTCTTCTGGAGGTAAAAGGAGAATGAATTTGTGATCTACTTGAGGCGCTATTCTACATCACAGCTGCCTTGGAGGCTGGCTAGGATCAGGTTGCTCTTGTGTTTTAGGGAATATAATTTGACTTCTTAGAAGTCTTGTTTAGAAAAACAGCCATGTGTTGATAGAGTATAGTTCTTAATAAGCTGCAAATATTCTCTTTGGTCCACAGAATCTATATCAACTAACCTGTTTTCTGACAGAACTCACCTAAGTTCATAAGGAACGTCAGAGTCTGTTTATACCAAATATTCTCTGCACATACAAATTCTCCCTACAAATTCCTTGCTAACTCTAAAAAAAGGAGTTAAAACAGCAAGATGATTTGACTTCTCTTGCTTCACTTTCTCGTGTCTTTTTGTATCTTCTACGCATTTGTTTCAGAGCATACAGGCTGGTGTTTATCTTAACGGCTGATGGACTCTTCTAGAATAACCATGTCCACAGTCTGTGCAAGGCTTTGGGAGGAAGGGGGGAGATATAATAAATTTGAAATAAAAAAATCCCTTTATAAGACAATGTGGATTTCCTTCCCTAAGCAAAGCCATGTTGAGTCTAATTCTGAAAAACCATAAGCTGAAGAAACATAACATCTCTGCCAGTGGAGCCTCAGTGACATGCATATCTGTATTTAGAATCCTGCAGGGAAGGTTGACTTAAATATTTATTTTCCATGCTGTTAACCCAATTGTAGTGCAAGTCATTATGGATGCTAAAATTACTTTCTTGCTCTACTGAAAATTCATGCTGACATCGAACGAGGCAGAAAGAGGCTTGGCCACTCTTGTCAGATCGAGACGAAAAGAACGTAACCTAGGAGAACAAATGAGGGATTTTCCATAGATTTTGTTTTATAAAATATCATCCGTGACTATATTTCAGAATTTGGCTATAATTTCTGTAAGGCTGGTATCAAATTTCTGAATGTTACAGTAGAGTCGAAAGGATGCGGTTTTTATTAAGAAAGAAACTACTAAATGTGAAAATAACACTTCACTTAATAGCGCTGCTGTCCTGGAACAAAATATCCTTAAAGAAAGTCACTATCAGAACTGATCCTACCCAGAATAGAAAACAAATAAACTACTAGTGTGTGCCCAAAACACTAAGAGAGCATCTTTAAATAAGACAGTCTTACCCTAAGCATTTTGTTTTAGAAGTAAATAACAAATATACAAAAGGTAGTATTAACAGATCAGCGTAACCTACAAACAAATGTTCTTGATTCTTGTCCATTTCTTCGAATGTCTTTTTTCTCAGACGCTGAGCTGGGGGGCCAGCGAGGTGTCAGTTTCTCGTGGTCACAAGTGTTTCGATGAGTGAGTCAAAACATAGACCCTTTGAATTCAGACATTCTGGGTGATTGTTCTTGGTCTGCCCCTTCCTTAGCTGCTTTCTCCAGCTAATTTTATCTCTGTCTTATCCAGCTTTCTATTCTGGATCATGGCACAGTCCTGTGTCTGTGAATGTAAGGAAAGCATCCCGCCATTGTGATTCTCAACAAAACATTCATAACCAGGAATGGAAATAACGCAGGAATCACGTGAGGCCCAGACACCAGATAGGGTGGATTTCTATTGAAAACATTAAATGACAACGAAAATAAAGTCTGATATGACAGAATACATGAATTTTTTTTTTTTTTTTTTTTTTTTTTTGAGACAAGAGTCTCGCTCTGCCACCTAGGCTGGAGTGCAGTGGTGTGATCATAGCTCACTGCAGCCTCAACCTCCCAGGGTCTAGAGATTCTCCTGCCTCAGCCTCCTGAGTAGCTGGGACCACAGATGCCCACCACCATGCTGGGCTAACTTTTGTATTTTTTGGTAGACATGGGGTTTCACCATGTTGCCCAGGCTGATCTTGAACTCCTGGGCTCAAGAGATTTGCCCACCTCAGCCTCCCAAAGTGCTGGGATTACAGGTGTGAGCAACCGTGCCCAGTCTGAATATGGGAATTTTAGCAAAGCAGGGGTAAGGGCCGGGAGAACTCAGGTTGGAGGAAGGGACAAGGTACCTGGCGTGCTGGTGACGAGAGTAGGAAGTGGCCTGGCCAGGCCACCCCCAAGAGCTGAATAGGCTTAAGGGCAGGAGGATTTTTCTCTCCAGGGCAGCCCTCAAAACTGGGCTTCCAGTTTGACCCCGAGAGAAGAATGCCTGATTATTTCTTTAATAAAACTGACTATGTTTCTAACATGTCAGGACAAAAAAAAGGCCATCCTCAGCCTGATTCTTCTCACCTATACAATGGTGCTAATAACTGTGCCCATCCTGCTGCACTGAGAGGCAGATGCGAGAATTCC